TTTTTTTTTTTTTTTTGGGGGGGGGGGGGTGAAGGTTGAGAGATAATTAGAACCACAAAGAATGAATTATTTAGCGATTATGCATTATTTAGTACTTATTTTTTCTAGATGATTTCATTATGGCCTGTCATTTAATGCTGAGAGCAAGCCAATCGATCTCTTTATTTGTTCGTTAAGGTGAGTTTCCACAGAAAACGCCCCGGTTTTCGTTCTCATTATCAATTCCTTTAAGTAAGTTGCATTGACTGTTGTTTGGAAAAATCAAAACATTCCATGTAAATGTTACTTTCATAGTTTCATGAGCTAATATTCTGTGTTACGTAATTTAATGTTCCTCCAAAAGCATCATTTGCAGTCAAATAAACGCGTGTCTCTGCTCTGTATGAATTGCTTTCCTGATGTAATTTGATTAGTCCTTGGATTTGATCCCCCGGCAGGAACTATTTTTTTTCTTGGTCTTCTCCATTAAATCCTAAGTCTAGTAGGGTGATGACATTTTAGAAAGAAAATGAAAAGGTGAAGGTGAAACTGAGTTTATTTCTGATTTGCCTCGATGATGTTTCATGTTCCAGATGCTATCAATGAGAAATGGAACAAGTTTGCATCCAATGTTTTTACCTGGTGTACTGCAGCCATCACAACTCTCTCAGGTGAGAATGGGATTCGATGAAGAAATTGGATCTAAGCATATGAATATGACAACCTCTGTTCCTATGGATGGAGAAGCTCGGCTACAGACCATGCTTACTCTTCCAGACCATTGCACTTCTTCAAACCAGGCATCAAATCCAATACATTCTGAAACCTCATCTGGTTTCCAATCAACTATCCAGGCTCATTTCAGCCCCTTTCCACTTCATGTCTCTTCTGAGGTAACTTTGAAAATGATCCCTATGGTAGCAAATGCATATGTAGATGCAGCAATCCTAATCAAGCTATCTTAAATGCACACAATTTGAAGGAAACTTGGAGGAAAGACATTTTACCAGGCCAGCAATTGAATGCATGTCATGCTGAAAGGAGTCCATCAGGTGGGTATGCTGTGCCTGTGACCCCCCCTCCTCCATACAGTTAAAAGTGGCCTGACATTTCTGTGTTCTCTAAAAGAATTTGAGTTGGCAGCCGCAGTTACAACATCACTTCCCTTTGGGATACAAGCATGTGACTTGAAGGACAGTTTCTCTCTAGAAGCTTGCGTGATAGGAAGAGACCAGAATGAAGGCGTGTGCTTGGAGAATATGGAGCACAATCTTCTACTTTCTCAAGATTTGAATAGGTTTCATAAATTCATTTTCATTTAGCTGTTGTATTCATGTCTTAATTTGACTTGGCACTCGAACAGGAAGAGGCGCGGGCAATCATGAAATAGAGATAGAAAAACTAGATATTTGAAACATGTCAGGCTGATTTTACTGTCTAACTGTTGGGATTTGGCGTAGCTAGATTGCCTTGAGCAATATTTTATGTTTGTTTATGTTATCGTGAAGGGCCTCCACCAGAAGATAGGCATCCTAGACGTGCTTTTAGCTGCAACTAAACAGAGAACTTGGTAGCATTTTGCTTTAGCTGGTATATTAATGAAAACGATGATGAGGATTTGTGAAATATATATTGACTAATGTTTTTGCTTAATCTCCTTCATGTTCTCATATTTTATTTTTCATTAAGAAAAGAAGACTTAGAAATAATAACAGAGAAAGATTGTATTATATTTCATGTTTTTTTTGTATTACATTCCCTCACATATATATACAAGAAGTGCATTGATTGCAAGAATAATTCTAGCTACATCCCTGATATTTCTCCTAAGAATAATGCTGGAATCAACTTATTTAAGAAGAATCATGATAAAAAAAGAAGAAGGATCATATCAGATCCTATAGATATATCTGCCAATACCCCCCCTCAAGCTGGATCAAGAAGATTGATTGATCCTAGCTTGGAAAGTAACAATTAAAATTGGGCAGAGGGCAAGGCTTTGGTGAATAAATCTGCAAGTTGATCCTAGCTCCTAGTATATTGAGTGACAATCATTTGCGATTGAACTTGCTCCCTAACATAATGACAATCGACTTCGATGTGTTTGGTTCGTTCATGAAATACTGGATTGGAAGCAATATGAATTGCGGCTTGATTATCGCAGCAAAGGGACATAGGTTGAGGGTGAAAGAAACCTAAATCAGTTAACAATGCTTTCAGCCATATAAGTTCAGATGCAGTGGAAGCCATGACGCGATATTCAGCTTCAGCGCTGGAACGAGCAACGACTAATTGTTTTTACTTTTCCATGAAACTAGATTTCCTCCAACAAAGATACAATACCTCGTAGTAGATTTGCGATCAAGAATATTTCCTGCCCAATCTGCGTCAGTGTAACCGAGTATCTGTGTGTGACCATGGTTTTGCATAAGAATTCCACGTCCAATAGTGCCCTTAAGATATCGAAGGATCCGTTTGACGATCATCATATGGGCTACAGTAGGTGAGTGCATGAATTGACTGACAATACTAACCGAATGACTTAGATCAGGCCATGTAATGGTAAGATAGATAAGCTTGCCCACTAATTTTTGATAAAGTTGAGGTTGATCAAAAGAGTCCCCATCCAAAGTTAGCTGAAGTTTGCTATCCAGAGGTGTTTTTGCAGGTTTGCAATCAAGCATATCAGCTTCATGCAACAAGTCCAGCACATATTTGCATTGATTAAAAAACAATCCTTTGTGAGAAGTAGCCATCTCTATGCCAAGAAAATATCTAAGAACACCAAGGTCTTTAATAACAAATCGCTGATGAAGAATACTCTTAAGAGTGGTAATAGCTGCATGATTATTACCGGTAACAATAAGATCATCAACATAAATTAAAACCACCAACCTTTCATTAGGCTTAATACGAACAAATAGTGAGTGGTCAGCATTGCTTCTAGTGAACCCAAGTTCAGTAAGTATAGTGCTCAACTTAGCATACCAAGCATGGGGAGATTGTTTCAAGCCATAGATAGATTTATGCAATTTGCAGACCAGTTGTGGATCATTACTCCGAGGATGGCCGGGTGGTAACTTCATGTACACTTCTTCTTGGAGATCGCCGTGTAAAAAAACATTCTTGATGTCCATTTAAGATAAAAACTAGCCATGATTTATAGCAACTGAGAGCAGAGTGCGAATGGTGTTCATTTTTGCAACTGGCGCAAAAGTTTCCTTGTAGTCTATGCCATATGTTTGAGTGAAGCCTTGAGCGACCAATCTTGCTTTATGTTTTTCAATGGAACCATCTGTTTTGAATTTGATCTTGTATACCCAACGACTTCCAACAACCTTTTTATTCTTTGGAAGTGATACAATACTCCAAGTGTGTTTGGCATCAAAAGCTTGAAGCTCCTCATGCATAGCCTTTCGCCAAACTGTTTGATGACAGGCTTCATTAAAACTGCATGGTTCTGTTGCTTTGGCGATAATGCTGAGATAAGCTCCATAAGATGAAGACAATCTATGATATGCTAGAGCATTGGTTACAGGATGCTTCACTATATACGTCACATAATCATGAAGCCTGGATGATGGTCTACGGTTACAAGTAGGATTACGCTTGAAGGAGGAACGAAGGTGCTCCTAATGTTCAATTTGCAGATCAACCTCGTCTGTTATGGCCAAAATAGGATCAGTATGGATGTCCATTCTTGCATTACAGTAAGACTGTTCTGGGCAATATGCCTTAACTACTGGAGTAGGCAATGGAAATAAAGCTGATGAAGACTCCCCCTGATTGGCGATCTCACTGGAAGAGGAATAATAAGATATGTGTTCATCAAACCGAACATCCCTGGTAACAACAAGCTTATGAGTTGTGTGATTGTAACACTTATATCCCTTTTGTGTTGGAGAATAGCCCAAGAACATACATTTGACTGTCTGTGATCCAATTTGTCATGCTGAGAGGATGGAATGTACACATAACAAGAACAACCAAAGACTTTAAGATGCAATAGAGATGGCTTCTTCCCTGTCAATAACTCAGCTAGATAATTAAATGTTAGATTTTTACTAGGCAATCTGTTTATAAGGTAAGCAGTTGTGAGTACCCCTTGAGACCAAAACATTTTGGGAATATGCATTTGAAACATCAGTGATCTTGTTTTCTCTAGTAAGTCTCGGTTCTTTCACTCTGCTATCCCGTTTTGTTGTGGAGTATGGACAAAACTAGTTTGGTGAATAATTCTATGCATGCTCAAATATTGTATCATGATATTAGACATATATTCAGAGCCATTATCTGATTGTAGAATTTTGATTTTGGATGAGAATTGAGTATGAACCAAATGATGGAAATCTTGAAATACAGTGACAATTTCACTTTTTGCTTTTAACAAATATAGCCAAGTAAAACGAGAGAAATCATCAACAAATGTAACAAAGTATTTATAACCATCAAAAGACTCAATGACAAGTCCCCAAATATCCGAATGAACTACATCAAATAGTTTAACTGAATAAGATGTGGAAGAAGGAAATGGTAAACGAGTAGATTTTGACAAAGCGTAAACATCACAGTTTATTGATTTGCTATTCAAATTTGGAAACAGTTTTGCCAAAATAGGCTCTGAAGGATGTGCCAAACGCTGATGCCATAACTGTGGCTCTGAAGCTAAACAGCGAGTAACTTGAAAATTCTTGGGTATGCAAAGATCTTTAGAAAAGTAATAGAGACCTTGAAAGAAGAATCCTTCACCAATCATCTTCTTGGTGACTAGATCCTGAAATAAAACATTATAAGGAGAGAAAACAACATGACAATTTAATGATGTTGTAATTCTTCCAACAGAGAGTAGTTTAAATGGGAAGGAGGGAACATACAAGGCTGGAGATGCAATTGTTTGAGAGAGTAATTTAATTTTCCCTTCCCCAAAAACTGGTACATATTTACCATTGGCAACGGATATTTGAGATGGTGGAGAAAAATTGTTAAAGTCAAGCAATTGATTGTATTTGTTGGTTATGTGATCAGTGGCACCTGAATCTATGATCCAAAAATCATGCAAATTACTTACAATAAGAGCATAAGAAAAGGCATTCAAAATACCTGGTACATCCAGAGCTGGGATATTTTTATTTGCAGCTAGAAATCCTACAAACTGACCAATCAGTGCTGATGAATCTTTGTTCTCCTCTAAATCACTCCACTCTGTTTTGCACGCTGCTTTGTATGAAGATAAGATGCAAATTCGTTGATGAGGTCGACTGGACTAGAAGTGAATGTTGGCAATCCATTTGCAGACTGGTTGGTCACAGAGTTCACAGAGTTGGCTTTATACCTTGATGGTTGAAAAGGCTTATGTCCTCCCTTGCTATTTTTTAAAAACTTTGGTTTTAGTTCAGGATGAAGATCCCAACATCGTTCAACTGAGTGTCTAAGATTGTTGCAGTGGTTACATTTCAATCATATCTTCTACTCTTATACCTTTTCTCTTCATAACGTCTTTGATGGGATACAAAAGCTCGGGCTTTAGAGAAATCTGCTTCCAACAGAGAGTAGTTTAAATGGGAAGAAGGGAACATCTATGGTGTAAGTTCATAACCTTTCTTCTAGTTTCCTCCCCTTGAATAGTCGCGCACACATGTGCGAAGGATGGTAATTCAGAGTTCATGAGTATACAGCTACGAAGATCTTCATAGTCATGAGATAAATTAGCTAAAAGTTGGAAGATTTTATCTTCTTCAGCTTGTTTCAGTAAGGTTGCAGCATTTATGGTGTAAGGTCGATAGATTGCCAATTCATTCCACATTTTTTTCATATTTCCAAGGTATTGGACAAATGATTTTCCTTCTTGGTGTAAACATGAAATATCTTTCTTAAGCTGAAACACACCGACAACATTATTCTAATTTCCATACATCTCTTTGACTGCATCCCATAAATCTGCAGCAGATTCAGAATAACTAAAGATTTTAGTGATGTGTGGTTCCATAATGTTGAGTAGCCTTGACTTGACCATTTGATCGTTAGCAAACCATGATTTATATTGGGGAGAGTTGACATGATCTTCCACCAATCGCTAATGACACAGCCCTTGATCAAGGAAGATGATTGAACTCATTTAATTGAACAGAACACAGACGTTGATTTGAATTCATATTAGGAAGATTCAAATCAGAATACAAATGTTGGTTGAATGAAGAAGGAGCAATAGAACTTTCCATATTCTCCATTCTACGGGAAGCCATCTAAACAATTATTATATGAGACTGGGAAGTATGAACCAACTCTAATACCATGAAGAAAAGAAGACTTAGAAAGAATATCAGAGAAAGATTGTATTGTATTTCATGTTTTTTTGTATTACATTCCATCACATATATATACAAGAAGTGCATTGATTACAAGAATAATTCTAGATACATCTTTGATATTTCTCCTAAGAATAATGTTGGAATCAACTCATAAATGGAAGAAGAATCAGGACAAAAAAGGAAGAAGGATCATGTCAGATCCTATAGATATATCTGCCAATATTTCAACTATATTTGTGAGAGTGCACGTAATCCTTCATCTTGAACCTGGAACAAAGTTCCATGGAACAGCTTGATTACCCTTTCTGCCTCGAACATCGACTGTTTCTTGATGTATTGATTCTTTTACGTCTTTAAAACCTTGCGTGCTAAAATAAAGACGAACGAGCAGCTCTGCCAAGCCAACGCAGCATGAAGGGGTCAGGGTCTGGCAAATTTAGTGGCTCCCGAAATGAAAGCAAACCGCAGCCTCAGATAATAGAAAGTGAGCCAAAGATAATTCAGCAAAATTGGTGAAAGCGAAAGGCAGTACAGTACTATTCATCAGAGAAGAAAATGAAAAATTAACAGCAAGTTAATTAAATAAAAAAGGTGCGGCTATTAGGACAGGCGAGGCACTTGCATCTTTACAAGCCCACAGTGCTAGTCATCTTGTTTAGATTGGGGCTGCCTAACTATATTTTGTATCCGATTTTAAGAGTATTTTTTAAAAAAATTAAAATTTTTACTTAAAATTATATATTTTTATATTATTAAATTATTTTAATATGGTGATATTAAAAATAATTTTTAAAAGGAACTCAATTTGTCTTTCTTGCCATATTTGAAAGGAATAACCACGTCCAATGAAATCTTCTTGAGAAAAGGAACCTATTGACATAAAATTGTTTTTTTAATGGTCGAATCATGGCCTATTAATAATTTTATTGTTTTTTAATTGGTTTTTTTTTTTAAATTTAAAAATAAAAAAATAAATAAAATAAATTTTTAAATAAAAATAAAAATAAAGATATCAAAAACTTTTAAGATTGATCATGTATTTTCTCATGTTTTAGATTATGATTCTTTTATTTTTAATTATGTTTTTCTACAACAATTTAAAATGTTATCTCTTGAAATTAGATAAAAAATATTCAAATAAAAAAACAAAAAAATATAGGCTGAAATTTTTTTAAAAAAAGAGAAGATGAAAATGTACCTTTTTTTAGTGGATTATATAATATATAATATAATTTAACTAAATATCAAGGCAAAAAGATAAATAATTTAGAGTTTCAAAACTTTTAATTCCTTTATTTTTATTAAAAAATGAATAAAAATAGTCTAATTAGCTATTTTTATCGCATTCAGTATATATATATTAATGACATAGTTTGATGAAAAAAATAAATTAACTTAGAGGTGATTTAATTAAAGATAATATTTTTTTTTTCATGTTTCTAGATTTTTTTTTTTAAATTATTTTTATTTTAAAAATATTAAAATAATTTTTAAATATTTTTATTAATTTTATTATTAGAAAAAAATATAAACCAACATTATTTTAATTAAAAAACGTTTTTACACATTACCAAACACATAGTACATTTTTAGATAATGTTTTCGTGTTTTAAAATATTTTTACGTTTAAAATTATTTTGATGTAAATTTTTTTAAAATTAAAAAAATATTATTTTAATATATTTTTAAAAAATAATATTTTAAATTTTAATTATTATTATAATCTCTTATTATTGTTATTATTACAGTAGTATCTTTAGATCGAAAAATAGAGGAAAAAGGCCAGGTGGTTTCGGTTTCCAAGAATTATCGAACAAAAAGAGGACAAGTACATCGTGTTAAACACTTATCTTTTCCACAGCTGCTGTCCTTGTCTTTTTCATTTTCCCGTTAAAACAACATTCCAGTTCCACAAGGCGCAGCCGCCCCCACCGCCACCACTACCACCACCACCCTATTATTATAACGGTCTCTCTCTCTCTCTCTCTCTCTCTCGACAGTCAGTTTTCACTTCACATACGCCTCTTCTTTTCTTCTCTCTCACGTACGGTCTTTCTCTTTCTCCCTCTACACGCACAATATTTGTATATATGCATCACTGAACATAAAAGCAGCAGAGCCTTAGAAAGAAAGAAAGAAAGACAGACAGAGATGGATCAGCAGGTGAAAGCGAATGGGAATTGTTCGGGCGGCGTTGTGGAGGGACCGACGAACCCGATGGTAACACCCCTTTTGACGGACCTTTATCAGTTCACAATGGCTTATGCTTATTGGAAAGCCAATAAACATCAAGAGCGAGCTGTGTAAGTGCTTTGCTTTTGTTCTTCTTTTCTTTTCCTTTCCATAGATTCTCTTTTAGTTAGTTATTTATTATTTGGTGGTTGAGGGAATTGGAGTTTTAGCTGTTTTTTTCCTTAATCCTACTCAATTAATATTCCATCGGTTAGTTAATGATATTGTATTAAATTTGACTGAAGAATTAATTTGCCTGATTACTTTCGAGTTTTCAACTGGAGTTTTGCTTTAAACTTGAAATTCTTTCGCTTTTTTTAATAAAAAGAAAAATTCCTAAGATAATTTAATTTCTTTGGGGTTTTTCATTTGAATTTGGAAGTCTTTGTCAAGTTTCCATTTTTAATGGATAAATAAATAAATAAGTAATTAGAATTTGACACCTTGTAATTAGTTGGAAGAAGATATCATGCTAAGGGCGGCCATTCTTTTTTAAAATTCAAGGATATCCTAGAATGTGACTTTAGATTATTGAAGTATAAGAAGCTAATTATCTCATAATTCATCGACCTGAATTTAACCTCGAAACGAAAAAATTAAGGCAGTAAGGAAGGCCGTGGTCAAATACTAGTAAGTCTTCCTAAAAGCCCTTTCAAGGTGTTTATGTCAGTCTTATAGCTTGCCGGGTCTTTATTTTATCTTTATCTTTGAGCTTCTTTTTATGCAGATCCCCTTGTGGGTACGCAGTCGTTTCCATATTGCGAAGCTAATACTTATGGTTGAATGTACTGATCAAGGAGCTTGTTAATCTTTGTGCTATGCGGTTCTCAGGTTCGATCTATATTTTCGGAAGAATCCATTTGGTGGCGAATATACAGTCTTTGCTGGTTTAGAAGAATGCATTAGGTTAATTGCGAATTTCAAGTTTACCGAGGATGAAATCTCTTTCATCCGTGAAAGTCTTCCTGGTTCATGTGAGGTAAACGAGGCTGACCAGTAACAATCTTCAACTCAGTCCAAAATAATTTATAAATTTATTCTGTAGAGTAAAAATTGGAAAAGTTCAGGCATGTGATGAGAGCACTTCTCTCTTTCTAGAATTCGTGTTTCATGGGAACTCTCTTTTAATTCTGAAGAGAAGAACTAAATATAGGATCTGGCAGGATGGTTTCTTCGATTATCTTAGAGGATTGGACTGCTCAGAAGTTGAAGTGTATTCCATTGCAGAGGGTTCAGTTGTCTTCCCCAAGGTACCCTTGCTAAGAATAGAAGGACCAATTGCTGTGAGTACCATCAAACTGTTTTTTCCTCTATTTTCTTGTTCATGGTTTACCTGCACCATTTTCTCTCAAGTTGATCTTAATCATTTAATGATGTTGTAGGTGGCGCAATTGCTGGAAACCCCATTAGTGAATCTTATCAATTTTGCATCTTTAGTGGCAACAAATGCAGCTAGGCATCGATTTGTTGCTGGAAAATCAAAAATTCTTCTTGAGTTCGGGCTTCGACGGGCTCAGGTTGCTGACTGTATTTTGATTCCTTTTTATGTTTTAAAGCTGGCTTGAGTTATCTTTATGAGAAAGCTTATTGTTTATGCATAGGGACCTGATGGTGGGATATCAGCATCAAAATATTGCTACCTTGGAGGATTTGATGCAACAAGGTAATTCTAAACATTTACGTTGCTGCATTTTTGTATCATGCAGTGGTTCATCTCTCTTATGGATGGATCCTATGCCTTCTAATCATACAATGATTCATTTTAAGCATTATCTTTCCATGTTAAGTGCCACTTTAATATTTCTTGAATCCAAATATAATCTTTCACTCTGGTTGTTAGGAGGGGGAGGGATTGGAGAGAAGGGATGGAGTGTATATATTATTTGGCAATAAGGATAAGAATCGAAAGAATCTTTCCTCACTTATAATTTCCAACCCTTACAATTTAGGTGGATTGGCTCCTATCCTTCTATTTGATTATAATTTTCAATGCTTTCAATTTGAATGGATTGACTCTTATCCTTCGCCTCTGTTAGCCAAACTACTAGAGGGATGGTAAACCATCCTTTCTCCTCTCTTCCCTGTCCTTCTCCCAATCCATCCTTCTTGACAACAGACTCTTAAAGTATGGAGTAGTAGCCAGTAGATAACACAGCTATGATGATCAACTACAAAAATTTTTTTAGTGTACAATTCAATTTCAGCATATGAGTTTCTTCAAAATCAGTTAACATGTGCTTTGGCTAAGGTGATTCAAGGTTGGTTTGGGTGGACATAGCTCAATGGTTCTAATTATGCCTTTAGGAAATGGATGAAAAACCAAGACAGGGAGCTTCTTCAAAGATGAGAAAAATATCTTGATTTACTCAGTGCATGGTTTACGAAATCATTGTCTCTCATTGTGCCTTCAGGGAAAGGAACACAACTGAGACAAGGAGCTTCTTCACAGCTGAGAAAAATACCTTGGTTTACTTGGTACATGAATTTGATAGCAAAAAAAATTTCTGCTTCCTTTCAAACTGGTTAAAGTGAGGTCTAAACTGCCCTTGTTCCTAAAATAGGGTAGGAATAGCATTCTGGTGCTGGAAAAGTTATGTTTCTGAATTTGAGTCAGTGAGATATGGCCGGAGGTATTTTAATGCATTCATTTTTACTCCATGCATGGCCCCATAACTGATTTGTCAGCAACAAATTTCTTAGAAGCCAATAGGCCTTTGTAATTAGCAACCAAATGATAATTTGGGTTTCTTTTATGCAACATGGATAAATAAAATTGCATGCAAAAATCACATTTCTTTCCATGATACTATGGCTGTTTTTCGACATCTTAATTGATATTTGCCTACTTCTGCCTTTTGTTTTGGCAGCAATGTTGCAGCTGGACGGTTATTTGGGATACCTCTGCGTGGAACACATTCCCATGCATTTGTCAGCTCATATATGGTTGTAAATTAATCTCAAAGAGCATTATAAGACATCCATTTTTATCTTTACAAAGTGAATTTCAGTGCAATTGAGATTATGTGCGTTTCATCATATATGCTTCATAGTTGCATTTCAATTAACAATTTTTTTTTTTTTTATATGCATGTGCTTAGAATTATATTGTGGTCATTTTGTGCAGTCTTGAATGTTAATTCTTAAGATAAATTTTCTCCTTTGACACCACTCTTTCTCTCTCAAATAATAGGCCTGTTTCTTTTTCTGCGGTATTTCACATGCTTGTGCCAATGTTTATACATGTATGCAATGTGCGTTAAATGATATTATTTCCTTGCTTTAGGTTTAGCCAATCTTTCATCTAAATTATCCAGTTGTTTGCAGAGCCCTGATGAGATCGTAGACAAGTCGCTTCGAAGTGCTGATGGATCAAGAAGTTGTGAGGACCTTGTCAGTTTAGCTCAGACATGGTTAAGTAAAATCCAGGTCTTCTTCAATGGCCCGCTGCATTCATTTTGATAATTCGTCAAAAGTTGTTCATCCAATGTTCTTCTTGAAAATGTTTGCCTAGATAGCACAAAATAAGTACTCTTTCATTTATTTTGCGATAACTAGTTGTGTGGCTTATGGATCCATCTTTTGTCAGTGTGGGTTAGAAATACAAGCAAAGTAAATATGGAAGTTTTTAATTTTTTGATCAAACTTCTATAGATGTGAGTTGTGTAATCTAGAATGATCAGTTAGCATACTTAAAAAAAAAATAGAAAAAGAAAAAAAGAAACAGATGAGAAAAAAGGGACCGAGGTCCAATTTTTTTCAAGTTCTAAAAGATGAAAAACTTCTTCTGTTATTTATGCTAGCAGTTATATTTGTGCATTTCATGTGAACTTATTTATGTTAAACAATCTTGATATTATCATAAAAGTGCACTCTCTTTCTCTCTCCACTTGTTATAACCTTGTTGAGGTTTCTAGGAGCACACGTGATTTTTTACTCTAAATTCAGATTGCGGAAAGATTTTTTTTGTTCTACATATAGTTTAGATTCCAGAAAGTGCATTTTGTTTTTGGGAATAGTGTTTTTGGAAAACAATGCTGATTACTTCTAAAGAAGTGCCAAGATTTTGTTTTTTGGGAACTCAATGGTTCATAGCAGATACTATCACACTGAGAAAATCTAGCACTGCAAGCCATTTTAATATCTAACATTGATAAATATATTTTCCTACTTCCTTGACAGCTAATTGGTATGAACAATGGCTTGATCCTATAATTCATTCTTCATTTGCTTATTATGCTCCCTTTCACTTTTTTTTTTCCTTTAAATTTTTGTACTTTGATTAATATGGTTCATGCTATGCAGTGGTCAAGTTCATTACGTGGTATTTTTGGTGAGACCAATCAAAGTGAGCTGGCAGCTTTCACCTCATATGCCTTGGCGTTCCCTATAAGCTTTTTAGCTCTTGTTGACACATATGACGTGAGTGTAGTTTTTTCTTCCAGGTTGCTATGTTTCATTTCCCTGGACTAAGCCTATCTTTCAATAACTGTTTCCTGGATAAACGTTTTTTCCTTTTCTTTTTTTTTTTTCCAATTTATTTATCTAGATTTGACATCTTGCTGGTTGATGTTGTGCTTTTCTTTAGATTCTCAATATTGAAGTTAAGATGGACATACAATCCTGGGTGATCAGGATAATCCCTCACAGAAAACCTGTGTACATGTTTAGCACGAAATATTGTTAAGAACAAGCCAAAGTCAACAATTGTTTGATCAAATTTCAGTAACCTCTTAAACTCTATTCAAATTTGCAGGCATTGTTTATGAAGTTCATCTTCTCAAAACACCTGTCATCCAGGCCACTCAATATCTTGAAAGTATAAAAAACCATGTTCTTTTGAATGAATTGAGACATTAAGGTTCCATTTACTTGTGAAAAAAGTTCTCTGGAATTTTTTTCTAAGAAACAGAAGACTAAAGAGAACATGTTATTAATTGGGAATGAAAATTGTTTTTTGAAAACATCTTTTCTAATTCTCCATTTTTCTAGAAAATTGGAAAACACCGAAATGGTTGTTTTCCAAATCCTTTTCCGAATTCTCCACTATTAAAATAAAGGTCGTGTTTGGTTCGCCTAATATTTATGGCCATTCCTTTACATATTTTCAACCTAAGCCAAACAAGGTCCTTGTTAAAAAAAAGGCCATTGTTTTCTATTTTGGAAAATTTGTATTTAGTTAACATGTTCCCTTAATTTTCCAAAATAGCAAACAATGTAGCCTAACCACAATGAATCTTTAGGCAAAATATCTGGAAAGTTTAATTATATGCTGTCTTTACTTTATGCTGCATCCTGCACTCTGTCTTGTTAATAAGCTAAGTTGTTATTTTACAAATCATATATCTAGTAATCTGTAAATGTGACAGAATCTGAATGTCAAGATGAAGGGAAATCTTATCAAGGTCTATAACCTCTGAAAATTTATTCCAATTCACCTCTGCTTTCTAATATGTATAACTCTTCTTCTCAAAATGCTGATGTTTATATTTTGCATCATCAAGCATGTGGCATTCTACAGAATAGACACTAAACTTTTCCATTATGAAATGGTGCAAGAACTCTTATAATGTTTCCGTGACCAGCAAAGGTTAATTATATGTTGCACTTTCTTTTTGCTGCAGTTTGAACTTTTGTCTTAAAATTTAAGTGGTGTGGTTGCTTTAATTAATTATCACTTTATAGCAGTTAAGATTGCTTTTTTAATCTGTTTGGTTTCTTTACCAGGTTATGAGGAGTGGAATCCCTAACTTTTGTGCAGTTGCTCTTGCACTTAATGATCTTGGGTAAGTCATAAGGTTTATGAGTGTATTGGAATTCTTACTAAGCAAAATTCCCTTTTCTTCTTCTATCATGGGTACTTAAACATACAGTTTTTTCTTTATTTTGTTCCTTAAATTTCTCATTCCATTCTTTTCATCATGTTTGGGTAATAGTATCTCTCTCAAAAGCTCAATGACAATATTAGGCAATTCAAATTATTAGGCTCTATTTGGCATTGCGGTCCAACCATGCTTTTGAAAACTTTTGAATTTTGTTTTAGCTTCAAATTTTTTTTTTTTTTTTTGTGTTTTTGGATTGTTTTGATGTGCTGATATCAAAAATAAATCTTTAAAAACAAAGAAACATGATTTTGATGTATTTCCAAGTAAAAAGTAATTTGAAAAACAATTTCTATCACACTTTCAAATAGGCCCGTAGCAGGCATAAATGGCAGCACATATTCTGAAACTGTGTCGCTGCCTCCACTTTGGTTCATGCTTTCAGTTTCACAAACCTATCTAACATTGAAATCACATGTCTTCACATCTAACAGATGGCTTCTGCCATCCTATTGATTTATACCAATGTCTTGGTATCTCCTCCTTTGGCCCTGTTTTCCCTTCAACTGGGGCTTCAACTGAATATTCCTGTGATTCAGGATTCAACCAGATATTTGCAATATACAGTTTAACGATTTGCTACGTTTTACAAGCTTCATGCAACATTTTCCAGAGGTCGATGCATCAGTTTCTCACAGCCATTTCCAATGATTCACCTCCAACAGCAATTTCTATCTTAAACCAAAGGCATTGATGAGAAAACTCCAGATATCATTCATCATTAATCATTAATCATTGTCACATTAGCTTGTGGTTCAATTGTCTAGTCTTTTATTTGCATAGCTTTCTGAAAATGTTTTATTGTTTCTCTATGGTGACCTTTTAATAGTACTCAATTTACACTGGTGATTTTAGATGGTTTACTTTGCAGATATAAAGCGGCAGGCATTAGATTAGATTCTGGTGATCTAGCATATTTGTCTTGTGAGGCCCGGAAGTTCTTTAGAGCCATTGAGAAAGAATTTGGAGTTCCTGGTTTTGGAAAGATGAGCATTACTGCTAGTAATGACCTCAATGAGGAAACTTTAGATGCTTTAAACAAACAGGTAATCATTCTGCAATAAAACTGCTCTGGTGCTCTGAGCAAATTACTTATGTTACCTGTTTTGGAGCTCAGTGAAGGGATTGGTTAGTCTATAGAGCATGTTTTAGAGTGGTTTCACATGAAAATTCTCTGGCATTGTGGGTTTGCTCCTGGCATGATCATACGCTGCTGAGCAACCAGGAAAATTTCAGACAAATATCTGGCATCTGAGCTGTCTTACTTAGCTGCATGCTATGTTAAGATGTCATAGCTGAATTCCACTAATTTTACTTCAAGCCTGGGGCAATTTATACATTTAACTGAGATAATTAAGTAACGGTTTACAGTTTTCAAATACAGAAAGGGCTCAAAATATTGTGTTTCAGTTTTTACACCATGAATTAGGATCTTTATTCATACAACTTCTCTTAATTACTAAAGATAAAAAAACTTAAAAAAGCCACATAATGTGTGTTTTAATAATCCGTCATCCAATGCCCTACATAATCTGTTCTGTTGTTATCTTCATGTGCCTTTCAACACTCCTTTGGCATCTGCTTCCATGCCTTTTCTCCACACGGGACATTCTTAACACAGAGATTAGGAATTTATGTATTTTATTATGTTGGAGAGTTATTTAGTTGAAAAATGTTTTGGTCAAACATTAAATGCCAAAATTGTTGCTGATCTGGTTTTCAAATGTTTTTACAGCAGCATGAATAAAATTTCCATTATTCAAAGCCTGTTTCTTTTTGTATTTTAAAAGCGCTTTTGAAAAAAATTAAAAATTTTAATTTTTTTTCTTTGTTTCAAATTAATATTTTTTTGGTATTTTCAAATCATTTTGATGTATTGATATTATAAATGATTTTTAAAAATAAAAAAAATATTTTGATGTATTTTCAAGCGAAAAACGCTTTGAAAAACAACTGCTACCATACTCCCAAACACCCTGGAAGCAACATATAGTTGTAAATTGCTCTTACTAAGAATTTATGTTGCTTATCCGTCGTAGCATGTTAAATCATGTATGTTTATGATGAAACTGTTTTAACAACAGAGAAGAAAAAGGCAGACCTGCATTTTGTTGGACCTCAATTTTTAATTGGAATAGCATTTTTTGGCTGCACAGGGTCATGAAGTTGATGCATATGGAATTGGAACCTATCTTGTAACTTGCTATGCTCAAGCTGCTTTGGGTTGTGTCTTCAAGCTTGTTGAAATAAACAATCAGCCTCGCATCAAACTTTCTGAAGATGTTTCAAAGGTTTGATCCAAGTCAAAGAAACTTCCGTTAATTTTTATTGAATCACTGATTTTTGTTCCCCTTCATTATTTTACTAGGTTTCTATACCATGCAAAAAACGGAGTTATAGATTGTATGGAAGAGAAGGCTATCCACTGGTGGACATAATGACGGGGGAAAATGAACCATCTCCAAAGGTAGTGCATTGAGTAATGGATTTATCATCAAAGTGCTCCATGTGCTCAAATCTTTGATTTACGCTAAGTACCACCACCATTGTTGTATATATTTGTTATTTATCAATATGTATTCTGAGAGTGCTGACATGATCTTTTTATCAAAGATTTTTTCCCTGAGCAAGCTGAGGGGTTGGTATTCCAAATCATTGTTGCTATTATTTCATATACAAAAATTAAATTGTGAGTGCAAATATTAGAATATAATGGACTTCAGAGTCTGGTGAGATCTCAGTTGTTGATTTTTACATTAGTTTTACTGGGTTGGTCATAAGAGTTCCTCATCAACATCAACGGTCACAAACTTTTGATGCCATGCACTTTTTGTCCCCTTTTTAACACGTGATTGAGCTGCTTGTCTGGATAGAGTTGACTCGTTATGGTGATTGGATGAAGGAAAAAACATAATTTCTTCCTTTTCTGAACTTTCAGGTGGGAGAACGGATACTATGTCGCCATCCTTTTAATGAATCCAAGAGAGCGTATGTGGTTCCACAGCAGGTTGAGGAGCTTCTGAAGTGTTACTGGCCTGGGAGCTCAGGTAGGGGTTTCTATGACCTAAACATATTTAGGGTCCATTTAGCCTAACGAATGAAAAAACAATTTTTTGACTTTGATTCATAATTCAAAAATTGTTTTTCATAAATAATTTATGATAAAAATAAGTTAAAATGACTTTAAGTTAGAATTATGTTTTGGTAAAATTGACCTAAAGCATTTTTTTTTATATAAAAAAAAAAACAGAGGTAGTATAAGTTAGAATTTGTAACAAGTATTTTTAAATCTGGACTCAATTTTACTACAAACATTTTTAATTTAAAGCCAAAAGTTGTTTCTAACAAACATATCCATGACTTTTCTACAAGTCAGAAGTTAAAAAAATAACTTAAATCAAGTGGTAATTTAGCACGTGAGATCATTATTGAATAAGTTGTTTTGGGGATTTGCATCTTTACAAAGGCTAGCACATGTAGGACATGATTATTTCTAAACATGCAATGATTTAGTTTGTGGTTAAGATGAAATTTCAGGACTCAGCATTGTATCAAACCCAAGTTTAACATTGTTTGTCCACATACTATACCAACAGGCTCAGCTTACTTCATCCATGCAGCTTCCAATGATTTTTTGATTCTCGCAGATAAACCGAGAGAAGATTTACCACCTCTGCAGGACATTAGAGATCGCTGTATCAAGCAGCTTGAGAGAATGCGTCCTGATCACATGAGGCGGCTGAACCCAACACCGTACAAGGTGATGTTTCTGTCTGTTGTGAATATTTTCTTCTGTAATTCTGTATGGCTGCAACCATGGGAATGTTAACTTGAAAGCTTTGCAGGTGAGTGTAAGCGCAAAATTGTATGATTTCATCCATTTTCTATGGCTCAATGAGGCACCTGTCGGGGAGTTGCAGTGAGGATTGGTAACAAGATTTGGTGCATGGAACTTTGTACAAAAATGCTGGTCAAGTTATGATTCCAGTAGAGTTGGAGGAGACTCAATGAGCACTCAACACATAGATGATTCACTTTCCATTAAGAAGCACCTTGGATTTAATAAACCATTTTGTTTCCCCATTTATTTATAAAATAATTGATTGTTTTCCTTTTGTCTAACCAGTGTGTTCTTTCAATTTACCAACTTACCATTACTTTATATTTCGAGTCAAAATGCAATTATAAGCATTAGAAAGACATTTAAATTTAGGTTGAAAATGGAGATTTTGTTTTTAATTTGTCTTGTATTACATTTTAAGCTACGGCTATCTTAGGATGGACAAGGTCTTTCAATTTTAAGGGTTCGAAACTTTGGACATAATCTTATGTTTATGGTTAAAGACCAAGAATTTGGTTCTATGCTTTTTAGGGTAAATTTGGTTTTGTTATTGTTAAAACATTAATGACAAAAAAAGAAGACTAACAATAAGTGTGTAAATGAAGAAAAAGAAATTCCTAATCTTTTAACTTATCAAATCATATCACATGGAAATTTTTAATAATGTTTCTATTTAAATGTTTTTATTTAACTGTTTTATAATAAAAATAAATATTTATCAAAATGATAGAGAAAAAAATTAATCTTTTCATAAAACTATTTTTTTTTATTGATACGAGTTTTTGTTTTGATAAAAATAAATGAATTTTTTTTAACACATAATTTTTGTTGAATAAAATTAACAACAATCAAGAATATATGGTCATAAAAACAATAATAATTTGAATTAAAAAGCAAAAGAATATATTTTTAATCAAAATCTTAATTTTGTTGTTCATTTAATTCTTTTTTATTTTGATGAAAACATGATTTTTTTTTTTGAGAAGCGTTGATGTTTATGTAAAAAGATATTATAATCATGAAATCAATTTTTAATTAAAATATTAAAAAAATAATAAATCAATCATTTTTATATACCTTATATGAAAAAAATAAGAGCAATAAATTTGAGAAAATTATATTAAAACTCTTATTCAATATTAACAAGGAAATTAATTTAAAAATTAAAAATATCAAGATAATACATGATTTTTCATAAAACAATCACTATTATCATAATAAATAGCCCCAATAATCTTATATCTAGTGAGGTCAATAACTCAAATCTAAGATTTTTATTGTTTCTTTAAAAACATTACAATTACATGAACATAATTTTTTTCATGTTAGAAAAAAATTTGGTTAGACTTGCATTGTAGCATAAGCTAGAAATCTAGATTTACTCAAGTTATTTTTCGGGTTTTTTAATTGAATAGTTTTTTTTACCTTTAATCTTTGGTTAATTAAAATTAGGTTTAATAATTTATTTTAATTTGCGTTTCATAAAGTTATCACAATTTTATACTCTACTTCATAAGTTTTACAAGTTAACTATAATTAACTTAAATCAACCAAATGTGTAGCCATCTCAATATTTTAAAAATATTTCTTCTAGTACGTGTGGGATTTTTGACTTCATGATATCTTTATATTTTTCTTAAGATTGTAAAAAAAATGATCTGACCTAAAACACAATACGAACCAAGGATCTGGTCATTTCTAAAGAAGATAATTATCTAATAAAAAAGAAATTAATGTAATACATGTTTATGCATTTAACAAATTTACCCATTAGATCACCATAATATCATCATCTTTATTTCTCTCTATTGCAAAGTACATCTCTTTTTCTCTCTTTATTACTACAAATATTTTTTTCCAATTTGCAATAGATTATCTTCTTTCTACATGAGGTTTATTTATTTATTTTTTTTGATACTTGAAAATACCTAAAAGCTAAGTTTATTTAAAAGCTAAGTTTAGATTCTCTTGGTAAGACTTAAACTTATATAAAGTCCTCAATAATTTAGTCTAGCAGGGTTGGGCTAAGGAAAAGTAGATGGACTTGATCTAGACGCCATCCAAACTTAGCCTTACCTAGCCATAAAAAAACTAGAAGGTAAAACATGTTTTAACTTAAACCTAAATATAATGCAAACCTTATTTTATTTTCTAGTAGACATCAATTGTTCTCTTGTTGTACTTTATCTTTTGATTCTTAATATAAAAATATTAATAAATTTTTGTTATTTAAGATTTCTTTTAATGAAAAGCTTTTTTTTAAAAAAAATAATTTCAACTTTTAATTTTAAGGGTTCAAAACTTTGGACATAATCTTATGTTTATGGCTAAAGACTAAGTCTTGGTTCTTTACTTCTTTGGTAAATTTGATTTTGTTATTGTTAAAACTTGAATGACGAAAACATAAGACTAACTATTAGTGTGTAAATGAAGAAGAAAAAGAAATTCCTAATCTTTTAACTCATCCAATCATATCACACGGTAACTTCTTAAATGTTTTTATTTAATTGTTCTATAATAAAAATAAATATTTATCAAAATAATAGAGAAAAAAAGTATTCTTTTCATGAAAGCTATTTTTTTTTTTTATTAATGCGAGTCTTTGTTTTGATAAAAATAAATGAGTTTTTCTTTACTAACAACATAGTTTCATTGAATAAAATTAACAACAATCAAGAATATATGGTCATAAAAACAATAATAATTTGAATTAAAAAGCAAAAGAATATATTTTTAATCAAAAACTTAATTTTTTTGTTCATTTAATTCTTTTTTTATTTCGATGAAAACATGATTTTTTTTAATGAGAAGTGTTGATGTTTATGTAAAAATATATTATAATCTTGAAATCAATTTTTAATTAAAACATTAAAAAAATAATAAATCAATCATTTTTATATACCTTATATGAAAAAAATAAGAGCAATAAATTTGAGAAAATTATATTAAAACTCTCATTCAATATTAACGAGAAAATTAATTTAAAAATTAAAAATGTCAAGATAATACATGATTTTTCATAAAACAATCACTATTATCATAATAAGTAGCCCCAATAATCTTATATCTAGTGAGTTCAATAACTTAGATCTAAAATTTTTATTGTTTCTTTAAAAACATTACAATTACATGAACATCATTTTTTTATGTTAGAAAAAAATTTGGTTAGACTTGCATTGTAGCATAACCTAGAAATCTAGATTTTCTCAAGTTATTTTTTGGGTTTTTTAATTGAATAGTTTTTTTTTACCTTTAATCTTTAGTTAATTAAAATTAGGTTTAATAATTTATTTTAATTTGTGTTTCATAAGGTTATCACAATTTTATACTCTACTTCACAAGTTTTGCAAGTTAACTATGATTGACTTAAATCAATCAAATATGTAGCCATCTTAATATTTTAAAAATATTTTGTCTAATACGAGTGAGATTTTTAACTTCATGATGTCTTTATATTTTTTTTAAGATTGAAAAAAAAGATGATCTGACCTAAGACACAATGCAGGCTAATCTTTTAGTCATTTCTAAAAAAGACAATTATCTAATAAAAGATAAATTAATGTAATCTATGTTTGTGTATTTAACAAACTTACCCATTAGGTCACCACAATATCATCATCTTTATTTCTCTTTTTTGCAAAGTACATCCCTCTCTTTCTCTCTACTACTATGGATATTTTTTTTTCAATTTGCAATAAATTATCTTTTTTCTACATGATTTTTGATCTTTTTATTTTTATTTATTCTTTTCAGTTCTTGAAAAATACCTAAATGCCTAGTTTAGATTATCTTGATAAGACCTAAGCTTATATAAAATCTTGAATAATCTAGTTGGATTAGGAAAAGTAGATGGACTTAACCTAGACACCATCCAAACTTGGCCTTACCTAGCCCATAAAAAAATTCTAAGGTCAATCATGTTCTAACTTAAGCCCAAACATAATCCAAACCTTATTTTATTTTTTAGTAGACATTAATTGTTCTTGTTGTACTTTATTTTTGGTTCCTTGTATAAAAATGCTAACAAAGGTTTGTTATTCAAGATATCCTTCAATAAAAAGCTTTTTCTTAAAAAATAATTTTAACTCTTATTACTATAGTAATTTTTAAAGTTTCAAAGAGTTAAGTTTTTGAAATACTTCCTTCTCTTATTATTGGTCATTCTAAATATATTAAACTAGATCTCACTACTATTGAGAGAAATCCTTTACCATTTATTACTACTAAATTTATTTCTAAAACTAGTTTTTTTAAGCCTTTAATAATGGAATCTCGTAGGGTACATGCCTTTCATGTTGAAGGTGAATATTAAAAAGTTGTTTTTGATAAGGTAAAATCTATATTAAGAATGTATCTAATTTAGAAAAGAGTAGCATTAAAGAAAAATAAAGAAGGAATAAAGATTTCAATAACACATAAGCCTCACAACCAATTGATGTCTTGAGTGATCTTGTCCTTCCATTTCCATGACATGAGGTTATCCTAGAGGGTAACTATATTAAGAATAACCCAAAAGTTTAGCTTATGTCATTGATCAATCCTATTATATTAATTTAGTAAACTAGTCTTTAAGGCTAAAGTTCCCTCTTCTACCATAACACTAGAATACCACTACACCATTGCTCCTGCATCTCCTGGTAAAGGATAAGAGGTTCTCTTGGTAAAGGATAAGAGGTCATGGTGCATCTATTGATTTATCCAAGTTAGCATACAAGTTCCTAGTATTATTTCAAGAAGCTTTTAATTTTTATTAGTGTTCACATATAACTTTTTCTTTATATCATGGAATTGTAAACGATATGCTCTCTTAAATATCTACTCATTCACTAATACATGTCTAATATTTTAAGATATAGTATGAAAAGACAATCAACCAAGAGAGTTTTTGTTAGCCAGTATGAAAAAAGGATATTATTATTCTTTCCCTTAAAGATAATGTTTTAAGCAATAACATTTATAATAGTTACTTGAAGCAGTTTTTAAATGACTCTCTTTTCTAATACTTTAAAAGATTTGTTGGATCATAATACAAGGTAAGTCTTAGTACAATAATAAAAAGATATTAATCTCCTTATTAATACTAAAAAACTACAATAACATATTATAGGATGTCTATGAATCTTTTAAAACCCAAAAAGAATCTTAGAAAATTGAATATTGAGATGTTTAGAAGACCAACCAATCTTTTAAAGATGCATATTTAAAAGTTGAGTTTCAAGAAATTCAGATGGTTTGTATAAAAGATGAATTGACTATGGATGAAAGGAGCTTGTTAAGGCTA